TTCTCATAGGAACAGGCTGGTGTCACTTCTGCCCCCAGAGCAGGGAGCGAGGCCATAATGGGCAGGGGGCTGCGCTCAAGGCACCCCTTGTTAGACTTAAGGCACCTTTTGCTCTTAGTTTTCACTTTCATAGTTTCATAGTTTCATAGTTTCAGGGTCGGAAGGGACCTAATAGATCTTCTAGCCCGACCCCCCACCAGGGTGGGAGAACAACCCAAAAAAAACTCACCCTAAAAACAAAAACGGGACTCAAATGAGTCCAGCCAGGTAAGTATCCAGCCTCTTCTTAAAGATCCCCAGGGTAGGGGCCAGCACCACCTCCCTTGGAAGTTGGTTCCAGCTCCTAGCCGCCCTAACTGTGAAGTAGTTTTTCCGGATGTCCAATCTGTACCTGCTCTCCATCAACTTGTGCCCATTACTCCTTGTTATGCCAGCGGGGGCTAGGGGGCAAAAATCACTTGATTTTTGACTGCAGGAAAAAACCCCAAACAGAGCAATTCTTTTGTTGCCAAGAATCCAGGAAGACCACAACAGGTCAGAGTGCCTTTTCCACTGGAGAAATCTCTGGGTTTATCTTGTGAATCCTGTTTGCACACCTAGCATGGTATGGCACTCTGTGGCACCCCTGAATGGATCTCAAGGCACCCCAGGGTGCTGCAGCACCCTGTTTGAGAATCACTGTGCTAGGTACAGAGGTAACCCAGGCCTAAGAGGGCATCCCTGAAGGATCAGAGGGAAAGACAGCCTCCCCTAGCATGGGGCAGGAGGGACTTTGAGGTGGGGCACGTGACAGTGGGACTGCTGCTTTCTGCAGAAAGGGACATAGAAATTAGTGAAAGGAATATCTAGGGCTGGGGCTAGGAGAAACGGAGGCCCCCTCAGACCTGTGAAAGCAGCAGCTAGAGACATTTCTAATACGTTCTCTGGAGCAGAGGGGATGCTGTGCTTGGCATCAGTTGCAGGAAGCCTGCCCAGTAATTCACATCAGTCTGAGACTAGAGCCCTATCTGGTGGCTATCGCAGGAACAGTCATCATTAAGGGCCCAGTGATGGCAAGACATGCCAGGGCTGGTGGCGTTCAAGCCCGCACATCAGCTTTGTGGGTTTAGGGCAACAGCAGTGACCTTCTTCCTTCTCCTATCCCCCGTCCCTCTTTCTCCTTGTGTATTTTCAGGAGCCAAATTCCCCATTAAGTGGACGGCACCCGAAGCTATTAATTATGGTACATTCACCATCAAATCTGACGTCTGGTCCTTTGGGATCCTCCTCACAGAGATCATCACCTATGGCCGGATCCCCTATCCAGGTTAGGATTTTTCACAGCAGTGCAGCCTGTGCCTGTAGTCAGATCAAAAAGACATTGGAGCTGACAGGGGCTGGGTGTACCTCCATGCCCCCACACTGACCAGCAGAAGGTGCTCTAAGACACGGGGGTGGTTGCAAGGGCCAAGAGTTACCCTGGTTTCAGACTCGGCAGAAGGCACTGCAGGGTGGCTGGCTGCAGGAGCCGGCCGATGCTCCTCTACTCCCAGCAGAGGTCAGCACCGGTATATGGAAGTGGCTCCCTTCCCTGGCTGTTTCTGACTGTTATGTGTGTTGTATGTGCAGGGATGACGAACCCAGAAGTGATACAGAATTTGGAGCGGGGCTACCGAATGCCTCAGCCAGATAACTGCCCAGAGGAGCTGTACGAACTGATGAAGAAATGCTGGAAGGAGAGGCCAGAGGACCGTCCCACCTTTGAGTACATGAAGAGTGTGCTCGAGGACTTCTTTACTGCCACCGAGGGCCAGTACCAGCAGCAGCCATGACAGGATGGGGCTGGAGGCATCCTCGTGTCAGGATGGGCGGAGGGGAACAGCCCCTATGCATTAGCTCCTCAGAAACTTTATGCAGATCGGGCCTTGGCATTTGGATCACAGCAAACGCTGGCAGGACCTCAGCAATCCCTCCGTCCATAGCAAAGACGCGTGTTCCTGGAGCACGCTCAGCCAGCAGACCTTGCCTCAGAGCAGACCGGAGGCACTGAACTGACAAGTGTTTTGACCCAAGATGCTGCTAGGTCTCTTTCTGAACTCCCTGTGCAAGTATGCACGTGCTACTTTACCCATCTCAGTGCCATGTGCACACTGGCCTCATGCTCACTCACAATGCATCTGTCCAGATAACCACACATACACGGCCATGCAGGTAGTCACTGCCTAGACCATATTCGTTCCTGCAGGCCTTGACACACCCATGCTATACAGAGAGTGTACTCCTAGCAAGAGGCACTGTCAAGTCTTATAAACTTCTCTTCGGCAACCATAATCACAAATTTGATCTGAAAATAACATAGGGGCCCAGCTCGCTTACAGTCTCAGATAATGCTCAGAACACAACAACAATCGCACTGGATCAGCTGGACCCCATCTCAGCACTGATTTTCCACAATGAGATGCTCAAAGGGCTACAAAGTGGAACTCCCTGTGTCCCTTCCACCCCCAAGTTCCCCCTGCAATATTTCTTTGGTGGTTTTTTATTCCTTTCTGTAGTGGAGATGGATGGTACATCAATGCCAAGGTGTTTTGCATGAATGTGCCAGCTGTGTGACTGGAAGCTGTCCAAGGCTGGGGCTGTGATCAAGGCATGCAAATAGCTGCACTCACCACAGGTACTGTAGAAGGACACAGGGCCCATTGTGCAATGCAACAGGGGCAAAACCTCTTCACATTAGAGCTCAGATCCCTGGAAGATGGTGTATAGGACACCACTGTCCATGTCTGTTGGTCCCAGGGTCACCAAAGCAGTCATTCTCTGCATTGCTGACTTATCTTTCTTCACTCTGAAACCACACTGCTGGACTCTGACTAGCGCCGTTCACACCATCAACCTTTTAGAGAGTTTGGTAAAGTAGTTATCAGATTCAACCATGTTATGAAAGGGAGAAAGGAGTTTACAGTTGGGAAGAAAAAGAGCTGATTGCAGCTCAGATGATCAGGCTAGGTACAGACATTCAAAAAAACCTGAAGTGGGAGTGACCTAAGTTGCGTGGTTTTCTGTAAGCGGCGTAGTTTAGGTCAGTAGCGAACAGAACACATTTGCTTTTTGATGTGGGGGGAGGGCAAATCTTAGACTGGGGTCCGCTGGTTTTAAACCAGTCTGTGTGTGTCGAACTTCTGTTATGGGTATAGGCTGGTTTCCAATCACTTAGACTGGTAAAAGTGCAATGTCTGTATATGGTCTCACTCAGTGAGAAGCAGAGATGCACAGGACTCTGTTCCAGCCAGCAAGACTGCTTTGGTTACCCCAAACCCCAGACACTGGCATTCTATAATATACTTACAGATGGATTTGTACAACACTGTTAGATCCAGAACTGGACCCTCTCAGAATTGGCACCAGACCAGTGGGGGTGGGAGTGTGAGGCTCTAGGTAGGCCCATCAGGGAAGGGTTTCAGCATAGTCTCACTAAAGGCTTGCTCACCAGAAACCCACCCAGAGTTTTGCTTTAGGAATAAGCCATCTTCATTGTAAGATTTTTCTTTCTCCATTTCATTGTAAAGCCCTGCCCTGTACTGCTGTTTTACTTTCATTAAACAACAAAGTAATGATGTGGCTCCATCCGATCTGTGGCAAGGAAGATCGACACATCCTAATCACACACGGGGGTGCACAGAGCTGAGGGTGGGGTCCTGTCATGCCGAGTAAAAGATGGTGGACCAGCTGGCCCTGCCTTCTGCTGCTTGGGCATCATGCAACAGCAAACCTACTTGGGGTCTGAGTCTCCAGGATCCTGAGTCTCTTGTGTAGGTGTAGGGCAGGGGTTGTCTCAGCACATCAGAATCGGGCCCTAAGCACAGCAACCCTTCATGTTTCACAAGAGACGTGACACCTGGCAGGATGGCTGAGGGGAACCGGCAGGATTAGGATTTGCAGACGGGCGATGCTGGCATCCCAGGGAGCTGGTGTGACTCATGGGGCAGGCAGGGAGTTTGCAAGGCTGGCCCTGCAGCCAGGGAGCCATTGATGCTAAGTGGAAGTGAGGGTGCTTGGGCAGGTGGGATCCAAGGGAGTATTCAGCCCGTGGCAGGGGCTGAAGGATGCAGCCAGCACCTGAAGGGTGGCGTGGGACGTGGGGCAGCACTGGGCACACCAGGGAGTGAGATACCACAAAATGGCTGACTTGTTTGGCACCAGTTCAACACATTGCTCCCAAGCACACAGCTGGAGCCATGGCCCCCCCCCCCCCCGTGTGCAGCAATGCTTTCCCACAATGCACTGTGGCACCCACCCCCTGGTAACCAGAGACCCCTAGGCACAGGGCTGTCTGGCCAGGCCAGATGTGCAGCAATGCTTTCCCACAATGCACTGCGGGACCCACCCCCTGGTAACCAGAGACCCCTAGGCACAGGGCTGTCTGGCCAGACCAGATGTGCAGCAATGCTTTCCCACAATGCACTGCGGGACCCACCCCCTGGTAACCAGAGACCCCTAGGCACAGGGCTGTCTGGCCAGACCAGGTGTGCAGCAGTGCATTGTGGGAAAGCAGTAACAAGGGATGCCTGTGTAGGCAAAGAGCATGCCATGGAGGCAGGGGTCAACTGGTTCAGTCCGGTCTGCCTTGACTGCCTCTCCCATGGGCATGGTACACTCCTATCTGACCCCCCTCCGCCATTCTCGTAGAATGGTACATCCCGATGTACCCAGACCCTCTCCTAAGGGAACCGTCCACCCCCCCTTCTCCGGGATTGGTACAGTCCTGCCAGCCCGTTCCTTCCACGGCGTTTGCTCTCTGAATGGTACAGTCCAGGAAACCTCGCTGCCTACCTACCATGCTGCCCCCTGGCTCCACCTTCCCTACCTTCTGATTGGTCGTCTCGAGAGCAAAGGGTTAAAGCCCCTCCCCGATAGGTCGGCTGTCCCGCGGGGGCGGGGGGAGGTGGGTTGTGGGGTGCCTTGGCCCCTGGGGCAGGTTCGGTTGAGTCGCGAAGGGTCTGTCGCTGTCGGGAGGCAGGAAAATGGCGCTGACGCAGGGGACCAAGCGGAAAGTCTGTTATTACTATGATGGTGAGCGAGCGGGGTGCACGGGGTGGGGGGCAGCAGGAGGAGGGGCTGCAGGGGGCTGCCCTGGGGGGCACCGAGGGTGCTCCCTGGATGGTGGGGGGAGGGGCACTGAGGAGGGGCCCCTGGCTGGGGGGGA